TTTGTGCCCCAATGATAGGCGCCAGAGTCGTTATAATCACCACGAATTTCGCCGCGCGGTTTGCCGCGTCCATTCAGTTCTGGGTGAATGTTCCGTCCCCCGTATGGAAGCAGCCACACACCACGAAGTATGAAAGCAGCCATTCAGTTGCAAACAAGGGGCAAGCGCCGCCCCCGGCCGTTCGCGAGCCGGTCGGCGGACTATGAAAGCAGCCTATGAAATGGATTTCACATGTAGGATGTCATCTCCATGAGAGAACACGGACGAACGCGCAGAACGGTCCCCTTTCTATTCAAATCTCCCGCACTTTCGGTGGTTTCCTACACGAAGCAAGGTTTGAAAGCTATTCATTCAGGGGCGTTCATTCCTTATAATCGCTAGTCTATTTATTTCCTTTATTAATGTGAAAGACCAAATTAATGGATCTTTCTGTGTTAGCACGAGAAGCGGTACAAATAGCGGTAGATTTTCCGATAGCCGATTTTTTGGTCAGTGGATTAATTGAATGTAGTTCGTTCAGTGGAGATTCTCCGAGAATCCCCAAGCCATTCATCGCACTCCTGCCCGGAATCTCATTTCTGAACCGTCGACGCCATGAGTTGTATCGATTGAAGCTGACGTGATCCGCGTCACCGAGTAAGGCGCTTTTCCCCACTCTCTTTCCCTGTTTTGTTCCGTTTATCATTCTGATAATGATAGCGGCAGTTCAATTATATCTCGTGTATTTCACATCAGTTTCCCCATTTTCCCACAGAGGAATTACCCATTCCTCACATTGTCTACTCGTTTCCTACATATCGACTTCGTAGTTCTTGTGTTCATCACTTTTTTTTCTATTCAAGAAGTTCAGACCTATCTAATTGTCCTGTGCTCATATTATAGGAATTTCTCAATTGCTCTTTTATTCAGGCCGCCTGGTGCCACCGGCTCCGTTCTCAGTTCAACGATTGAATGGAAGGTATCGTAACGACAAGGGAGCCAGTAGAGCAGTTGCTTGGTAAGTGAAAATATCTTTTTCAGAACTTACACCTTTATCCTTAATAGTTACGGTATACATAGTAATTAAACTGTCGAAGTAATTCATATCTTCGTAATGCTTCCAATCAAATAACTAATTATTTACACTCCTTGTGAAGGTTCGTTGTGTTGAACCTATCACGATGAAGTTATTTATTCCCTTTAATAATAATATAATAATATTATTATTACTAATATGATAATATTGTTAACAACATGAACGAAGGGGCTACGTCGGTAGGAGTCCTCGACATAGCCGAACTGAATAGAGACAGAGGAAGTAGGAGCAGAGGCAAGAAGGGTTCGTTATCACAGGCGTTACCTGTTCCATTCACTGCTCTGTTCAATTTTAGTCTTATCTAAGTTCATTATACGCAACCATCTAAAAATGAAAGTGTGATTTTCAGAATCGCACTCACCTGTGGTCAGTGATCCAGAAGAGGCAGAAACCTTCCATGATGAACTATCCGAGCAGCGCGAAAACCAAAACTGTGGAGATATGATTTTTGAAGGTGACGAACCCGAGGAACGAGGAGACCACGTTGTTGGATGTGATTTTGATTGTGGGACAGTCGATGTAATATGGTTGGCCAATAATGAACTAGATGGCGTAGCAATACGAAGGGGAAGGCAAGCTTATTCTGATTTAATTTTCTTTTTCGTGAGTGAGTTGATATGATGAGTGATCGTTTGGTTTAGTGGTAACTTTTATCCATCTGTCGAGGTGGGAGCGAACGAAACTGCAACTGTCCTAGATTCAAGTAAGTTCCCTTGGATTATTCCCTCCTCACGATTGTAACCGAATTGCTTTTCATGACGTTGCTAGCTTCTGGCCCTAGCGACGCTGCTACTCGGCTGCCTCCTCCTCCTTGTGGGCCACCATTTATGTATGTATGCATGTATGTAAACGCGTTTACAACGTTGTAGAACACAACAAGCTGAAGTGAGAAAATATGGAACGGTCATGTCAAACAAATCACAGTAGCTTGTTGTGTTGTGATCTACGAATGAAAATAGTGAGGTGCTTTATCGTCACGGATTGCCGGTAGGAACTCCCGACACGACCCCAGCTCATTATTCCACGGGTCGATGGCTCCGCATATCGGTAAGTCGTTTCAGACGTGCTTTTAAAGCGCACAATATTGCCTGTCTATTTCGTAATTCCATGCTTTGATGCTCCTTACATGCTTAATGGAACGAATATCTCTGAATGCCCAGCTATGTGTATCTAGGTCGAGAAGTCAACATGATGAACGACCTAGCTCCGGAGGTGTGAGCAGACGGAAACGCGCGGCGTGGGGAACATTTAAGAATGTTGAGGGAGTAGTGAAGAAAACGAAGAACCTCCGGCTCCGTGCTCACATTTTCGATACTGCGGTCCTTCCTGCTTTATACGCCTCAGAGACTTGGACACTACGAATGCAGGATGAACAGTTAGCGTCATTCAACGCGCTGTGGAAAGGACGATGGTCTGAATTTCCCTATACACGCAAGTCCAGAAGGGAATCCGGGGTTCCGAGCTCCGTCATCGAACGAAGATCAGGGGTGCCGTTGATCACGTCAAGGGATCGAAGATCAGGTGGGTCGGACACGTTATGCGATATAGTTATGACCGCTGGACCAGAACGGTTACGGACTGGATCCCTCGGGACGTCAAGCTAACATCAGGACTGACGCCAACAAGATGGTCAGACTTCTTCACGGAAGCTCTGAACGAAAGGAATGTTTGTCCCGTGTCCCTTGAGCGAGTACGATTCACTGGACTACTCTGGCTCGCGACAGGAACGAATGGAGACGTCAGTGGTGCCCGCTCGAAGAAATCGGCTATCAACGGGAGTACAGGTGATACAGGTTATTTCGTAATTTCTGTAACTTCATGAACAACTGATCTATATCGCGCAGCAGCCATCAGGCCTTTTTCTTGTTTGACAGTTTGTTCGAGATATCTTTCTAGCCCATGATAAAAACTCAGCTACTTTTTATTCACAAGAAAAAAAAANNAAAAAAAAATTCATTCCTTCTAAGCATTTCAGAAACTGTCATTAAGTTACGGCGACGTTGACTGCAGATCATTCCGTAAAACTGTTACAGAAGAATGTCAAGCTGACAACCAGTCTCCTACCTGCCCTTCGACTTCTGCAGCTCCAGAAATCTCGCGACTACAATCTCACTCACCACCTACAACTGCCGACGAATGCTAGTTTTGTATTTGCTTGTTCTTGACTTTTGATTGATGGTGGGCGTGAGTCAAAATTCTGTAACGTTGTCTCAATGTTAAGATTGTAGTTTGAATTCCCTTAACTTCTAATTTACTTGTCTTTCATACTTTTAGAAAAGGCGGGAACAAATATTTTCTCTTCGAAATAGCTCTTTGATTAACCGTTCTCAAATGTTTTTGGCTCGTATTCTTAGTAGTCGCCGGCATTCAAATTTCAAAATTACTACAGCCAGTGAGAATGTCATGTTTTCTCCTCAAAACGGGACTTCTTTAAGAGTTTTGTTTTCTGTTTCAGGTCATTTAAGGCCAATAAGCAGTGAACCACCACATCTTCATGAACCAGCGCATGCAACTGCTTCCGATGAAAAAATTTTTCCTGAAACTCTTTTAAACGAGAAGACAAGTGGGTGAGTGGGCAACGTTTACAAAAATGACTTAAGCAATTCATAAATCCTTTACCCTTCGGCTTTCTGGTATTGCTCTTCAGCAATGTCAAGTCTACTTCTGCCTATGGGGTGTGGAGCAGTAGGAACGAAATTGCCGCGTCGCGGCAAGAGGGACGCCGCGCGCAAAGGAACATAGCAGAGAATTNGCGGGTAAGAAATACAGCAACAAAGGAACTAATAGTAGAATCATGCCTAAAATAAGGATCGCAAATCGATCGAGCTGTATTAAAAACGCTAGAGCTGTAATAACGGCGAAGGAGTGGTCCGCGACAGCCGCGTGCGACGAATCGATTACAGAAAACCGTTCCTACTGCCCGTCTCCCCTGCCTATGTGCTCTGTTGTCTTGCAGGCTCCATTGTTGCGCTGCAGCCACCCGCACAACTGTTACCCCATGTAAGGCGGCCAACCACCTGTCATTAGTACTTTTCTAGTGATACTCCGTCTTTTTTAAGGATGTTCTAAACAAAGCCCAATATCGCTAAAATGTATCACCAACGTGCACATGAAGTAAGAATATTTCCGTAATCTGGATCCCCTCACTATAACTACGCATTTACCCGCTCGATTCGATACGCCACCAGCCGTTTTTCTGTCAGTAGTTGGGAATAAAACAACAATTTTAATGTGCCCTTTAGCACATAATACAGAACTACTCTCTATCTATATGATGTTCAGTTTCAGTTCCATATGATTTTGTCGTGTGCATTTCTTTACCTTTTTTACAGGAAACCATCATGGACTCAGCAAGAGGAAGAAATGGTCTCGGTTCCCGGTGCCGGTTCTTCTACATTCAACCCCTTGATTCAGGGGAAGCCTTGTTATACAGTGAACCATCTTCCGGCAAACACGTTCTTCAATAGTATGTTTTTATTTCTAGCGTGTTAGTGTCACACATTCAATTGACCCATTGAGATGGTTATCTTGAGAATGAAATCAGTTACAACAATGAAACGGTGATAGCAATTACATTGACATCATATGACATAAGTACCCACTGTCTACACCTGTATTATTTTTATTGCCGCAACGTAGAGACTTACTGCAAGAAATATTACTACTTTTTATAAGGGCTACTTCTAGGTGGTCGCACATCGATGTTTGGAGAAGCAAGATGTGATCTGCACCCCTCAAACATGTCTGGTTATGCCTTGCACCCAAATGGCATCCAGTTACCTATTCAAGCGAATCATCGAAAAGGAATCATCTCAATGAATCCAAATCACATACCCCACCAGCAACATCATGAATACGGACGCCCAGACGCAACAATGCCTTATCTCACATATCCACCGGTGCCAACTACTAGAAGCATGCCTCCACCCTATCTTGGCGATGGATTTCCGTTCAATCAGCAAATTGGCGCTAATCACCAAATCTCCGACTTGAATTCGAATGTTCTTCCTTATCAAATAGGTTTGTTTCACTAGTTTTTCCTTTCATCTTCGAATGCTGTAAATATATCTGTCCCGATACGCTGGAACCTTTCACATCTCAAGCCTGATACGTCGCCGATTGGTTTTCCCTTCCTTACAAATCACAGCACCGTACACTAACTAACATTCTGTATTGTAGGCCGGTAACCATGTTTAGCAACCACTACAATTACTGTTGCTTGCTTGGCTAGATCAGCTCTTGCGAGTTTGGGAGACCAGCTTCCAACATCCGTCAATCTTCTGTGAATACATAGTCTATTTCCGTTTGTTCCCGCCCAANGCGGGGGGGGGGGGGGGGGGGGGGGGGGGGGGTTATATCGTGATAGAATCCTCTCTAGGACTGACTCCTGCTATCGTTGAAGCTCGGATAAAGTTTTCCTTTTTGGTGCAGCCCACTTGCTGTGTGTGCGTGGATATTATTCTTATTCTACCACTCATTCATGTCATCATCACAGATGATTCGAGCTCCGGTACTCTTGAAGTTGAAGAGGGAGTTCTCAGGGACTTGTCATGTCCACTCCATTTCGTTTGGTGTCTTCTTCATTCCAGTAAAACTTAACACTTTCTCGAATTTCTCCAGCTTGTCGGACAATCCCTTGCTTGGGTTGGGATAGTATTCTGTAATCTCTTGGGAGAGTTCAAAAGGACAAGTAGTTCTGTGGAGATGCGGGTGCGTCATGGGTTTAGCGTTTTTGTAGGCTACCGAGTAATATACCATCATTTTTACATCCCGAATCTGAATCTGCCAAGTCTTCAAGACGAATAGATAGGGCATTCACTGTAATTTATTTTTGAGGGCAACGACGGCAGGAAGGGTTTGGATGCCAAGCGAGTTATGTAGTGACACCTGCTCCAGCTCCAAGGTAATTTATTTCTTCTCGATATGTTCGTTTCATCGCATATTCCAGAAACCAATAAGGTTATTACCTCAACACCCCTCAGTCTCTGATATTTATCCTTCTCTAACACTATACTTTTGGGCGCTTTGCTATACTGTTTTTTTTTTGTTTTTTTTTTTTTTGAAAAATTTAACATGAGTATATTTTTAAAATGCAACAGGATGTCAGTACAGGGAATTTTCCTGCTGCCTTTCACATGAATTAGGTTTGTACATGATTGTAAGAACTTCGTTCGCTTCAACAAATAAAAAAAAACATGAGACACAGGCGATGCCATATTTTTCTCCTTTTGCGATTTCACCCTTTCGGAATTGCTAGCGTCCAACCACTGGAATCACGGATCGTAAAAATTTGCATTGCTAAGTTTTTTTTAAAGTGAACTTATGGCTTCGAACTGTCCAACCATTTTTTTGCAGTGCCTTTGATCCTGTGCGTGATTTCACGCAATTATCTTTACGGCAAGACGTTTTCCCATTGCAACAGCAATTACGTGCCTCGTTTCCAACTGAACAGCCGTCAGCGTTTTCCTATGTTAACCAACGATCCAATGGCGTACCACCACCAGCCCCTCAATATCACGTTCCAGTCACATCGAACAAGGTTAGTTTCTCTAGTATAAAATGAGAGCCTTTTTCAATAGTGTTTTTTGTAACTTTCGTATTTATGGTCGTACTGTGCCCTCTTTATTGTATTGCCATGTAACGGTATATCTATGGTTGGTAATCCTCGGTACAAACAACCCATGGGTAAACATCAAGCAACAGAGAATTCAAATGTAATTCACCAAGCCCTTGCAGAGGCAGTGAAGGGTTGTGAGGGAGGCTCTTCTGTTCTCGCTTCCAGTTAAGTGTTCGTTTGTAAACATAAGCAGCCATTATTACAGGTATCTAGACGGCTGACTTGGGCTGCACTCCTCGCTTGTCGCGTCTACGGCGCGTCGAAATTACTTTCCACTCGTCTCTACGAAGTGGCGGATTTGTTCCTGAATTCCCACCATTCCAAACGCGCCACTGTAATGATTTTGCTGCAACCACCTTATCATTCACTGAGGATTTAAATTATGCACTTACATTGCGCAGGCCCCACGTGCGAATTGCAGCGAGAGCGGTTTGTTCATTGCCAGCGTATCGTTAAACCATCCGTTGTGAGATGGTGTTTGGGGAAGCTAATGAGTGTTCTAGGGCCATATTAGATATTCATACGATTTTTGTTATAGACCTCCATAGCTGATACGGCACCACGTCCACAGGATGTCACTTACGCGAATGACGGAGGTCGAGCTCTGAACCCTTTAGGTTTCCAACCATATTTCACTCCAACGCCATCTCAAGCTGTTACCAGTAACAATTCACTCAAACCTCGAAATGCTTGTGTAAGTTCGCGACTTTCTTCAACAATGTTCTCGATTACCAAAGAATCGTTTGTAGGTCGACGGAACCGAGCGAAGAGATTGCTGTCCACCTGCACTGAGTCCAACTACAGGACCTATCCAGGTACAGGCACGTCATTGCTCAATCTCACGAAGAGGCATTTGTTCAGGAAGCATGTAATGAGGACACCGTTGTACATACTCCTATCAGTTCCCAGGTGTCTTCGTCGTGCCCACCGCCGGCTCCTCGTAAGTTTTCGGGAGNGAGCTTTATCATGAGGGATATTTAATCAAAACAGACTACTACAGTTGTGGGGGTTGTTATTTCCGTCAGGGTATGGAACGCATTTTCTAACAGTACTCTCAATGGATTACTGAGTCATTTTAGTCCCAATAATTAATGAGCCTTTTGCTGGTTTTTCCATTATGCATACGAAAATAATGGCAAGGATGACACTTAGATCTGGTTTTCTTTGTAGTAAGGTTTTGAGTGTACTCTTTCTTTGTTCTTACTCATGCGCTGATTGAGCTGCAATGATTTTATGGCATTTTTTTCATCAAGTGTTGCTATAAATGAAGTTGAAGAACGGGCATATGCTGCTATTAACAGTCAGAGATAAAATTAACTCTTTTTACGATCTTGTTATATGCACAAAGAGTATATGAAAAAAGTTTTGGACAGAAGTCTCTAGAACAACCGACTAAAACAAAACAGCTTCAAACTGAATCATATATGATTAATGAAAGAAGTATAATACTAAACAAAAATTGCGAGTCGAACAAAGAAACGCCCCTGCTACTTTCAGTTATCATAACAAGAAAAAAAGCAGCAGAGCTCTCGACTGCAAAATGTAGACAGAATTTTTTGTGGCGAGCTAACCCTTTAGGCAGTATTTCTTGATCAAGTCACCAGGAACACTAACCGAGAAAAATACCGCTCTTGTATTTGATGTTGCAAGTACCCCCATAGTGACAGACGTATGAAGGGTGATTGAGTCCTGCATACCTACTGGTACTTTACCTATCAAGCTTTTAGCAGATTTTTAGATATTTCAAGTTTGACTTGACATCTTGAGTATTCATCCTAAACGATGGAATTTCTTCTAGCTCAGGAGCGGTCCTACGTTCTCTTAGCATCTTCTATGACGTCACCGAACGTCACAAAAGTAGAAGACGTTGTAGTCTTCAGAGCTCCCCGTCGGTTTGGGATGAGCTTGATGAGGAGTGCACGGTGTCCAAAGTAAGTATTTGAGGAAATCCAGAGAACTGATAGGGTGTCGCTAAAAAACGTTCAACTGTCTCATTTCATGCAAAAGATGGATTATCAAAATCGTTATTTCTAGGAGGCGTTCCCAGACCATTGATGTACTCGTGAGGAATAGCCTGAAGAACTTTGAATGTTGGTGATATGCTGATAATGATTATAAATTTACATTTGGATTTCATCCTTCTTTTATGAACGATTAAACTCTTGGTTGTAGTGTATGTTTAACTCTTTACTTAAATTCTTTTGTGAGAAAAACTTCTCGAACCTTGGTTTCAGTATCGACAGCTGTTTCGTCTAAAGCACCATTATTTCCTCCCACTTCTCCAACGAACAATGCTAGCGACAGTGTATGTTACTCTGAGATTTTTCGGAACTATATGTCTTTGTTGTTCTCGTACGTTTGACGTTTATATGTTTTATTTATTTACTATGGATGGTGACGTCGTACATATATGAAAAATTGAAGGCGCCAAGAGAAGAAAGATTTCGACCGCGTCCGTACCTCCCTGCTGTCAGATATCCCAATATGATTGATGTGAATTTTCGAAGACGACCTGGAGTAAAAACGGTATTCATCGTTCAACAAAAATGTCTCCGCTTCCCTCATGTCGATGTTCGCCCGTTTTCATTATAAATTTAGCCTGCACGCCCTCGTCATCTCTGCGATCAAACGAGAGAAGTTATTGGGAGAGTGTGTGCATACTTTCGAGAGTTTTCCAAAAGATTTGCATCGTAAGTTTTTCTTTCACTTTTTCTTTCTTATAAGGTGGTTGCAAATGACACCGTTCGATTCTGCTACGATTTCATTCATAAGTTTTGGATTCCCTGTATATTTTCTATCACTCTTGCACCTCATTCTAAAAGTATAGATTCGAAAAACAGTCTCATTTTCATTCATTTTCGACCCCATTTTTTGATTAGATCAGTTCTTGTTTTTGCAAGCTTTCACAAAGAATCCTTCCATTGATCATAATATACCAGCATTCCTGAAAAACACTTTTTACTTTCGCCCGACATTTGTTTTTATATAAACCAAACTGTGGAAGCGCCTCCATGTAATCCTTACTCTGAAGTGCTGTCAAAAGATTTCAGTCTTGGTAATAACATTGCTGGAACTCCATTCGAAAACCCCGATCGAATGGCTGCACATGCCACTGGATTTACTTTACCAACCATACGAAGATGTTCTGATCGGATGGAATCGGTCCCACACTGTACATATCGTCCAGGATCACTGCCCACGGTGAGATCACTGTTTTTTCTTTTGTTTAGTAGTTTTTTATTGCATTGGTTAGGTACTCTGAGCATTGCCTGTGCTAACCTAAAAGTAGCTGTTATAGGATGATGAACTTTCCAAGTTGTCGTTGACATTCGCCGATGAGCCGTGGCTTGCTCCTTTGAAAAATCGATGTCATTACTCTGCGTCCCGAAAGAGAACGAAAAAACCTTCACCGCCTTCTCCAGTCAGCTTGTCCGAAGTAGAGGTTGGTCAAGCGGTTCATTCGGAACAAAGTGCTGCACACCTACAACTTCGGTCAGAACTAGATATCCACATTCAGAATGGAACTTCGATAAATTTTCCTCTCCAGAACTCTACCAGTACCTGGAACGTGCTTACGAAGCATCTTGCCGTTTAGGGCGTATGCCTTCCCTCAACTTAGCCATAATTCCTTACGCGATACATATTCGCCACCAAAGTGTAGCAATACATCTCCCTGATCTCACCCTACTGCGACTGTGAGGTGAGACTCTCATATCTTTCTCTAGGCAATAAACCTGCGATTAAGGTTCTTGCGATTCTCATCGCCTATCTAGCCGCTTTCACAATTCCGAACTTGCGCTTACCTGCCCCCTGGTTGTTCATCAAGATGCCTTTACTCGCGCACTGCTATATATGAGCCTGTACTTCAGAGTTCCCTATCCCTTGTTTTATGGTCCCTGACAGTTGGTTTCACATTTCGGCTCTCTTCAAAACTATGATTGAAGGTTTAGACTCACTACAGACGAAAAGTGGTTTGTAAATGAGTAAGAGTGAAGTAGATTCAGGTGGGGTTCTGGAACTTCTCCCTGCAGACGGCGTCGCGCACGCCGCACCCGCCGCAGGATTGCGAGGAGAACGTCCGTTGCGCGTGTCCGTCGAAAGTAGGTCACCCCGCCCACTTCGCGCGCGGCGCATCACACCGAGGTCTCGAGATGACACTACAGTACCAACAAGTGTCATTGGAGCAAATGATTCGCATTTGTCTGTGTTATCTTCTTCTTGAACTGACTGCCGTGGACCAAACGCAAAGCGTATGCCCCAGTGACAATTGCGACGTCTGTCAAATATCGCGTGCCGACTCACCGCGTGCGACGGCTGCGGCGTGGCCTAGTTTCGACGGATACGCGCAACGAAGCGCAACCGGATTGCGATGGCAGATTGGAGCGCGCAATTTGTGAGGTAGGGAGTCCTTTAATTATTTGAATTGGCTGACCGCTCTCTTCATTTTCAATGCAGTCTTGATCGTCGCTTACATATGACGAGTCAATCTAATTAATCAAGTCTAATAAACAAAAGAAAAAGAAACAGAAAAAAAACGATCAAATCTAATAAAAAAGAAAGGCAATTAACGAAAAATTCCGTGTCCTATCGATTGGCGGGGAGGCGGGGAGAATACGGTAGTTGCAGTGACATTTGCCGCATGCCGCAAGGGAGAATGCCGCAATCGGGGAGAAGTTCCGTTACCCATTCAGGTGTGGTGAAGCCTAATGTACGCAGAAACTTAAACGACCCTTCAGATGTAGAGTCAGAATTCCGGGGCATTCCTAGTGTGTTGAAGAGTATAAAGTGCTTAGATAAAAGTTTTGTCAGAACTTCATAGAAAATTTTACTGCTCTGAATTCTTTTTTTGAAGCCTGTTTCTGGTTAGAGACCTTTCTGCAGAAGAGCAGAATCGAAGTAGTTCGTTTTTGAATACATGTTCCGACCTTAGAGCTCTCCGAGATTCACAGCACAAATTTCTGGATTTCGTTGTTTGGAAATAAACTCAACGCATACAACTTGAAAGCGATTTAAGTGCGAAAAGCGCATTCAAAATCTAAATTTTTCCAGAAAGAGCCTGAGGAATCTGGTGAAGAACCATTATCTGAAGTTGAAAAAGAGCCTTACGAACCGGAAGAAAATGATGATGGGGTCCCTAAACTGCGCAGATCTCAAAGGATTCAGAATCAGCGCAGGGCCAAATTGATGATGCGACTACGAGCAAAGAAGCATGAGGGAAAGACTCCGACCAATAGCAGTGTGAAAGGTATAAGGTCATTCGCCTTTTCAATTCTGAAATAAACTGATGTGCACTTACAGATCGAAATAAAGAGAAAGAAAGCAGTGATAGTGGTAAAACATCGAAGACGCAGTCTAAGATCGTTGCTACTCTGGACAATAAACAAGACAAGGGTAACACAACTGTGGAGACTCAGCCACTTGCGCCCGCAAGGTTTGAAATGCGGAAAAGGCGAAGTCGCCGCACGTCGTCACCTATTCAACTTACGGTAACTGATTTGTGCTCCTCTGAAGTATTTCATCTTTGTTCATTATGAATATTTCTGCGAATGAACCGCTTGGCTTGATTCCAATTGAAGATAAATAAAGCTTATGGTAAGCGCCTACTACGGTAAGTAGGGGTTACCAGGACGATCGGTGGTCGGACTGGTTGGAGCCAAATTAACACCTTTTGGAACGACAGCAGTACAGTAAACTGGTGTCCATTTGGGGTAGTAAAAGGTGACTACGCGAGAATAATGCTGTAAAGTCCTAATCGTGGCGAAGGGACCTTCTCTTACTGAAGAATTATCAAAAGTAAGGTCATATACGGGCAGCCCTTCATTTTCTGACTCTTATCCCAATTAAAGACATTAAGCAGTTCATTTTCCTTCATAATCGCCACATCGGTCGCTGCACTTCTGTAGAGGCTGTAACAGTTTTCCATAGAATATTTCCCTTCGGAACACCTTTAATTTCTAGGACTCAAAAAGTGATCATCGAGCAGTTCATATGGTAAAGCGTTCGCGAAGTGCGTCGAGAGTCATGGATAGTTGTACAAATGTAGCTCGAGAAATTTCCATAATTGACCTCACTAGAGATAATGAGGATGGAGCCGGGAATTCGAAGGAAAAGTCACATCGGCCGGCGGATGTTTCAACTGCTGAAAACAACGACCGATCTTGCTAGGCTAGTACCTTGTTATCGCTTTTGTTTCTTTTCTTTTCTTTTTTTTATCGAGCGTTTTTCCATCAGTTATGAATCAATCTAGAAAACATTAGTTATGAATCGTTCTAGAAAATAAGTCTGGTCGTTTTCTAAGCCTGCGCTCGTTGTAGCGCTTAGCGTGGATCGCTTTAATTTAGCGGGATTGTTTTCTTTTTCGTCCTTACTGTACGGTTTGTTCTATGGATCTGGTCAGAATTATGATTAGCATTAGATTATACATACACTGTATCATTGTTCTGTTGAGCTGTTGAATCTGTATGCTCCTTCCTGCTGTTCCTCTCAGTGTCGCGTTTCTGTGCGTTGCTCACCTTTTAGCTGTATCTTTTGAATGATGTGTTTATACAAATATTTGAAACTATTTCTAACATTACTGTTACTAATTTTGGTTAATAATGAACTTGTTCTTAAACATCATTTCTGTGATGTATATTGCACGCTAAATTTCCTAAAGGGTTATAAAGAAGCGTCATTGTCGCTTCTATGATTCGCCAGTCAACCTTCTCCTGCTTACAGAGTCACTCGAATATTCGGAAGTCCGCGCTGAAATGTATAGGTCAGGATGCGCCACATCGGTGGCCTCGTCGAAACTACTTCTTTCAAATCTCTGCGGCCTCGAACAGTTGTGTGGGTTATCTCCTACAGATCAAGGATGAGGTATTCTGACATTGACTTCCTCCCCTCAGAGAACAAAAAGAAACTTTTGAACATGGCTCTTTGGAAGCGGATTCTCAGGGTCCCAGCTTGTTAACTCATTCAGTACTAGTATTCGAAAGTGCAGTTCATGTAAATGTAAACCTTAAAGTCCGAGGCTTTTTTTCCTAAACTATTCTGGATGGTGATCATGTCAACCCCAATCGGTAGTATTAAGTGGCCTCTTGTTGAGCATATTTCGTTTCGTTTGTTCATTCCTGAACATATACTAAAATTGGAACAATACAGAGAAGATTAGCATGGCCCCTGCGCAAGGATGACACGCAAATCCGTGAAGCGTTCCATATTTCGGACCCTTGTGGAGAGCATGAGTATGTGATGGCTTTATTACAATTGACAGTACACTTCACCTTCGTACTAATACTAATTTTATGATTTGAGCACTGGATCTTCCTTACTCTCTGGATTATTCGATTGAAAATATAGCAGAAGCAAAAATAGAAGAATGTCGGTGTTTTTAGCAGAATTGTCCGAATTTAAATAGTCTCTGATTTTGAAGAAGTTTCACAAGTTCGAATGAGGTACCGGGACGGGGCCAACGATCTAATTACTACTAGGAAACAGTAAGACGCTTATTAAGTCAGGATCTATTGGGAGTCACAACAATTCAAAATAGGCGATTCAAAAGGTTGAGCAAATATTTCAGAAGTAACGAGGTGTGCTTGATGGAGAGAGGCGGAAGACTTCATTTTCACTGACAACTACTTATAGAGAAGCTTGTGTAATGCACTACTCAACTCAGACCCAGACTCAGAATCACTTTTCCCTCCTCTAGCCCTACACTCAGAAAAGAAAGGAATTACTCCCCTTATAATGCGATTCTAGTAGTCTTACCCTATCCAAATTCTTCGCCCATCCGGATCGACCTTGCGTCCTACCAGTCTGCTTCTGCATCTCTTGGAGGTACATCAGGCATCGTAAACAGCGCACGTGCACGTGCAGAGGTCAAGCAAGAGCTGGCTTTGGCACCCTGGGTGATGGTCGTGGTACGGTAACTCTTTAGGTCACCAAGTGCAGCTGTACGAGGAAAGCATGGGATACGGTAGTATGAGTAAAATATTTTGCTAAAGCTTTTGAGTTTTCAGGCTCCTTTTCTGTTCGATTCACTCGGTTTCCTCTCTTACTGATCACCTTTTTCAACTACCATTTCAGATGAATTAGTAGCAGATACTTCTATATGCACATCAAAGGGCCATTTCCAAGTTTTCCTTAAATCACTCTCAGTTTTGCTTTTAAAATTTCTTTTTGTATTTTGAGAAAGGGTGTGCAACTGTCCATCAGTACTCCAGATGCAAGACAGACTTACTTTACGGATGAAAAAGGCAACGAAGCTAACAATCAAGAAGAAAACCGCTGCTAGCCCTCACCTGCCCCTATTTTGCCCCATGGGCAGAGTTTGCTCTTCATTTCTGCGAAGGAGACGAGTTTCCGATCGGGAATGCTACGAAAATTGCAGCAGGCAGCCAATAACAGAGGTCGGCTGACGATAGTGGGCGGGGCATTGGGCGCAGGCCCGAGATTTCGCCCGTCCATTCACACCCGTTTTTGTCAGCTGCCATAAGGAGGACTGGCTCGAACCAGTTCACTTCCTCATTTATTTTCTTATTACCAACTCTTTTCTTCTACTTCTAACTGCACTGTAAATAGTCTTTTCTGCCTTCTCTTTGCTTCGGTGCGCTGAATTTATTTACTACTTCTTACTGTTTAGAAACAGTTCAGGCCAAACTTCGGTAAACCCTTAGGATCGCTCAAGATGTTAAGTGGATTGAAAGCGGCATTAGAAGCCACAGCCAACATGGAGCAAGGATATGGAGGTAACTCTAGTAAGCTTTAAAATTTTCGTACGCGTTCCGACAAGAGGTTGCTCATTTTAAAAACAATGGACAGTAACACACCAAATAAATTTGTGGGTGAAATAAGCAACCAAGAAGATGATGCTTGGTGGAATAAGTAGCGTTCGTTTTTATATAATTACAAAGGCATCATAAACCTCTGTAATGGTTTGGATATTTTCTTCTATTAGTATGGTTGTTTCATACGTTCCTTAATCCGACCGTAGAGTGGTTCAGTAGGAAGTTTTCAAGGAAGGACTAATGACAAGTCTATTCTTATCTTTCTAATACCTTTTTTCTTTGGTGAAATTGGATTGGAAGTTTGGATTGAAAGTGATATTTTTCAATTTCCTTATAGAATCTCTGTTTTCCTATAGTTTAGTGACTTCATATTTTGTTTGGACCTTTTTGTTACTGCTGTTATTTCACCGCAGTACGCGTTCCGAAAGTCTCACAAGGTTAGTGATTTAGGACAAAACTTCAGTCCCACCTGAGGCTGAAGTTCTGTCCATAAATCGCCTAGTGTGACTTCAGATTATCTTAAGAATATTAGATTGGCAGCTGAGCGATTGTGTCTATTTTAGAGTATCCTACGCAGTAACCTGTTAATATTAAAATATACTCAGGTGTATATCAACCATGAAATGCTAAGGTTTCTAGCCTATAAATACAAATCATTTTGAAAAAGCGTAGTTATTCTCTAAGATAAATGTTCGAAGTTTTAAGATAGGAGAATATGCAGCTACATAGTTGCTCACCCAACAGAATGATTTCTTTGGAACTGCTCAGGTTGCTTCCAACTAGGTGTCCCTTTTTCTTGCATTTCGAGTTGTTAGGCTGCTGCAAATTATACCTTACACTTATATAGGTCCGCGATATCTTTTATCATGCAAAAACAAAAATAAATAAAAAGAGACTGTGAGAAAGTCGGAGGTATGATCGGGTCATCAGCTTGTAGCTCAGCTGATGCGGATCTTGAAATTCCCAGTAATCAAATCATCCCAAACGAGGGACACCAAACCTAAAACTTTGAAGTCAGTTCATTTTTTGAAGTTCTACTTCATTTTATGGCTAGATTGTTGGGAGGAACAGAAACTTCAATGCTTTTCATAGTTCAAACATGATGGATGATCGGATTTTACCCTTTTCACTTTGATGGAACGCCTTTCTTTCTGAACGTTTATTGTAGACAAGAGGTTTCCTATACTATGTGGTTTTTCGGTTCAAAAAGTTCATTTCAGCTTGAGTAATTTGACTGTAACCCTCTGCATCTCTTTCAACTATCCAATTCTGTCGGAGAACTTGGAACCGGTGAAGTGTTACATTACCTAGCTTCATTTTGTAGTAGATATAATTGATTGGTCTACTGACTAGAAGTCATCGGAAACGGCATATGCGAACCTGCTGAACCTTTCCTGCTCGAGTGAGTAAAAAGAGAACTTGAACGTCGAACTTCTTATTATGTCAAGCTTTAACATCTGTTTTCCTTAGAGTAAAAAATCATGATTTTCTTTCTGTTTTTTTTAACTCGCTTGAAATATATTAACATATCTTATTTGCATTTATTACGTTTTTTGGTGATCTAACACTTGTTCCCACGTAGTCATGACTTCCATTCTCACAAGGGGTACTGTACTAGACTGTACTATTTCGTAACTCTAATCGTGCATGGGTGGAGATGCGCGGAAGGCTGCAGTATCTGGCTGTGAACGTAACTACGTGGCACGGGTAGTCACGACAGTATTGGTTAGTGAAAAGCACATGGACTTCCACAAATACGGAACGAGATCATTTTGCATACATGAGCAGGAAAGGTAGATTATAGCAGTAAGCCTCAGTTTCGATTCTGAAGAAAAGGAAACTTCTGTGTGCTATTTCCAGTCTTAGTTTGACCTTGTGAAAATTTCATAGGAAAGGTTTGAATGATTGCTTCACGTATTCGTTTATCTATAGAAGGTTGCTTGCGTGCTGTGGTAACTTTTCCCCGAAGGGCGATCGCGCGCGCTTGAATTTCTAATAGGAGCATACTGTAATCGTCGCGGAGCCATCGTGGGAATTCGGGACAAGTACTGTCACCCCAAGGCGGCATCTTTGTCTTACATTAAAATTTTATAGACCTACCTTACTAGAGCCTACCATTTTCAGTAAAAGGATCAATAAATCGGTTTATTCGGGTCCGTCGAAACTACTATTCTTCTGCAATGTGAATCAGTCGGTATATATTTAATCTTCCTTGGGGTGTGCCTACTTGGTTCAACCGTTCAGCACAGCAACCGAGCAGAATTTTTCGAGTATTAGGCATGGAATGTTTCTCTTTCGTGTTTTTCGCTTTCTGCGATTCGATTGAGTATGACTGGTTGGCTGTAGTGGCTGGAAGTTCGTGGGGACTGATAATAATTCACTCTCTCAGCGGTGTCAATTAGAGGAGAACCTAAGGCCTGAAAACGAAGGCATTGGGGGCAGTGAGTAATGTTCCAAATGATTACCACGAAAAGAAGGAATCTGTATTTAGAAAGTGTCACTTATCAGTTTGCTTTTAGGGTATCACGATGGTAATCTTCAATGTGGTGTAGCTGACGAGCGAATACATACGAACTGGTCAGGTTTAGCTGGCGACGAGTCTTCATTGAAAGAAAGGTAACTCTCGTTTTCAACAGATTCAGGCAGTAAAATCAGTAAAATAGATATTGTTTTCATTTGTTGCTCATAAACTACTTCGGTGGATGCTCTGAGAGCGGGTACTAACTTCCTCATATTAGGTCAGAAGGTGGCATCAATACGCACTTTCCTCCTACAAATGATCGTACAGGTACCACACAAGGTTCGTTCAAGTTCTTGGAGGTCAAAGGAGATTAGATTAAAGGAGGATTCACACGGTTATTACTATTCGCTTTTTTTAGCTGATATGACCCTACATCGTTCTCGAATTCCTTCTATAAGCATCGTTTATCCCGCACCATCGGTCCTCCACTGTGAAGGTCGAGCGGCTGCTGATTGCGACTCTCTTTACTCTGAGAACGGCTATATGGGGAACATGGAACTGTACTCGATGAATGATGCGTTATACAATGGACAGCGTGTAACAATGAATAAGGTTGAACCACTTAGCTATCATCGCCAAGACTTCAGCGATATCTCTCAAGTTTCCCGCAGACAGTGTGAGTTGGTTACTACACGAACTAACTATGAGGAATAAAGGGAGGTTTGCTTGCCGAAATTATAATGAGGATTCTGAGATTGCTTCTAAGTTTGTTCTCAATGTTGGAGATGTTTTAGTTAAAATTTGCAGCTGACGTTGATGTGAGCCAGTCTGAACCTAATTCCACAAGCTACTCAAGTGGCTATTCAAGTTGCGACAGCTCGTCAAGGTATGGGTGATATACAAATGAATAACCAGCAAGTTTGTTCCCTTTCGTTGTTGTCTTTCCGAACCCCTCCCTTCCTTCAAATTGCTCATCCACCGCCTTTAGAGCAAAATGTCTCAAGGCTTGGCGACATTTTTAAAAGAAGACTCAAAAGTCATTACTTTCAGCCCTTGCAATATAGTCAACGAGTCTTCACTCAACTCAACGCAGGATAGTTCTGAGAGTTATGAACAAATTCATCCTCTGGACGGCCCGTATTTTGAAACGAATCCTCAAAAGGGCGTAAGTTTTTTTACCCGAAGTTCTAAACCTAAACTTGTTTTCAAATGGTTTTTGTGGTCATCTCGCGCATTTAGCGAATTCTGTCATAGCAATTTGTTTGTAAATCACATAAATGGAACAGTGAAGCAATTTTTCATAGTCATATCCTTCTTAATATATGATTTTCTCTTTTATCTTCAAATTTTGTGAAAAATAGCTTATAAAATCCAGCTAGCATGTACTCTTTATGCAACCACTGTTTTTTCAGAAAAGGGCATTCGTTGAAGATCTCTCTTATAGTAACACTCAATACGAGAGAAAGAAGCATGCACGTATTGAAGTGGCGAGAGCGAGACTGCGCGATCCTTTTGAGGTAACCTGAAATGCTGCTCAGCTAATGCTCTGTGGTTATCATCGCTTCCATTTCAGCATATTAAAAATGAAATGTACAGTATGTATGTTTTAAACGCAGAGAATCGTGAAGAGCTGGACGATCGTGAGTTTCCACATTACAATATGTTTTTTTCGGTACGATGCAGTTTCCTGCCATTACTGTCGCGAAACCTAGTAGTAGTGTTAGTGTAGGCGACACCAGCAGCTCACTGTCAGTTTCCGACACCATTCTGTCATCGAGCTGCTAAAATCTGGTATTGCCTATTTTAATCCCGTCTAGCCACCAAGATTTCATATCATCTCGATTGTACATTATGTATTGATATATTGAATATGAGAATCATTTTAATTGAAAATCTTGCTTCCGGTACATCCCAAATTTCAAGAATTTTAGTTTGATTCTGGGTTTTAAAAGGATTTTCATGAATCCCTTGTCGACGCTAGTAAAATGTCACCTTTTCATTAAAAGTCTCAATTTTTTTGGATGAAACGAATTGGTGACCGGAAAACAAAAGTAGTGGTTTTGATCTTATCCTTCGGTGTAAAAGCTGAAACCAAAATATGCCTTTGACACTCTGATGTCAAAATTTTATCACCATGAGATACTACCTTAATATGGTTATACATTATTAAACTATTAACTGCTGTAGCGAGTCAATTTTATGCTTGATATGAAGAGATTCGTGGGAGAGACTGGTGAAGAAACAAACGGTCCAGAATCTTCACCATCTTCTTCACTGAATTTCCTCCGCGCAAACCCGAATTCAGTAGGACTAACAAATTTGGTTGACATACATTTTGATATCGGTGCCGCGCATGATGGCTGCCTTTACTTATGGTACATTTTAGGTTTTTTTTTTGCTTATCTCCGCAGATGTGGGTCCCGATTCTGTTTTCCGCTTACCCTCATGGTTTTCCCTTCCCAGTATTATATTCAACTTTTGGTTTCCTCTGTCTAATCTAACCCTTTATAAATGCAGTATAACCGATAGTCAACTGTTGTTTAGTAAAACAAATCAGTTGGTGTTGTCTAAAAAGAGCAATAACAAGAGGGTAGTATCCTTTGGCTCATTTTACGTACAAAACTCCCTTTTTGCCAGTACAACGATATAGTGATTGCCCAGTTGACCTAGGAAGTTTTAAGAACAAGGTTTTCAGGCTGTGACACACTGAAAACAAGTCTGGAGACGGCTGTCGCTACTATGTCGGGGGAGTGTTCGAGAAAAAAAGTTTCCAGCGAAATGTGGTGCGGAAGGAATGGCGGAGGACCACCACAGGAAAGGTGAGGTTGAGTTTGAACCATGAAAGAAAAAAACGTGATGACTGCATCTTCGCTACTAAGGATCTTGCTATTCCTCATACTTTTTGGAAAAGGGCTGAAAGCTTGGTTTTTTGTAGCAAGCAATGTCATGGTGTGGAAAGTCATATGTGTGAACAAATGAAAAGTATTGTTGCGAGGACACGATTTTTCTTCCATTTATTCGCCAAGGAATTCAGAAAGTCAGTCGCAAAAACATATTTGTTGTAGTTTCTTTAAAAAACGTGTCTGTTGAAGATTGAGTAAAAACTCCAACGCTTCTTTCCGCGACCCCGACTACTTGACTGCTCATGCCACTGGGATCAGTGTCGCTAACGTACGCAAATGTGTCGTTCCACTAACGAGAAAGACTTGCTCAGGAGACTGTTCAAATTCGAAGAAGGTTTGAGAATGCTGTTTTCCTCCCTAATGTAATTCTTACGAGTGCTTATTTTTCGTTTAGAAAGAGAGTGTCCAACTTATACCTGCAACATCATCGCGGATAGGCTGCTGTGAATGTGATACAACTTCTTCTAAAAAGCGAGTGAACGCATACGTTCAGACAGAGCTGCATCTTGGAATAAGAGTGAGGAGCGATTATTATAATCTTTTTACTTGCTATATGTCATGCGCTGTTTCTCGTAAGCAAAGCTTTGAGACCCATTTCTCTCGAAATTTCATAATTCCACCGATATTTTATTTGATTGTTGGTGTATGTTCGATTTATTAGCTGGTTGATTTTATCTTTGAATCTTTCAAGAGAATTGGACTACCGAATAGTGACGGCAAAACTATCGTTGCCCCAAAACAACGCAAGCTGTTTTACATCACAGCCAACAATGTAGGTGATTTCTAGGGATTTTATTTTTGAAAATGCTTGTTCCCGTACACGAACGTCATTCGGCAATATGAATTGATACTGACTACTTTCCGCAGGGTGGCACTTTCAAATCGCTAATTACATGAATAACTAGTCTGTCAGCATGAACAGAGGCAGTGAATACCACAAGAATGTCGCAAGAAATCATCACAAATTCATTTTGTTGGGTGTTATCATATCCGAAAGAAAATCTCCATACCGTTCTACTCAAGTCATCGTAATTTTCAGGATGATTCTGCCATCAAAAAGAAAAAGGATTGTCGTGTGAAGTTTTCGTTAGCATCTTCCAGAACAGCACAGATCATAAAGGTGAACTCTATTCGGTTCTCTGCGCAAAACGCTCTATTTCCGATGTTTAACTTCATACTCAATGAAAAGAGCTTAACAGAAAAACGACGTCAGTGAAGAGTCTGCTGAGCATCAAGTATTCCTCGTAATAAACAAATCGGAAAAGGTTGCCGGCGCTCCAGCTGAAAGACGGTGGTCGTCAAGGATCGAGAATCAGCCGAAGGTTTTTTATGGTGTCATACCACGAAACAACAAGAAGGTCAAAGTGGAAAAACTCAAGCAAGGTATGATGGAGCCCCGCCGATGACAACTTCTTTCATGAGTGGAGTTACCATTCTTATTGTTTTTTAGTTTTTCGTCGTGTTCGGGCCGAGATTTGTGGAATGTGGCTGATAAATTGATGGATTTCAGATGATCTGATCAATAAGCAAGTTGAGTGTGTGCAAGAATGTGTACCTTCACAGCCTTCGTCACCGCGCCGTGCATCACAAAGGAGTCGATGTCCTCGTCGTGCTTTCTCACCATCTCACGTTAGCTGCTTGTTCGACTCTTTTTGATCACCATTCATCAGTAAGCTTCTTCAGAAGCCGGGATATGGATCATTGACAATTGTTCCCGTTTGCCGATTCAGATTCATTTGGAAGAAAAATTCAGATCATTCCGATGTACTTATCGAATTAAAAGGCCTGAAGACGTCATTTGAAGAGAAACCTGTAGATTTTTATATGTAAACGGCGAGTTGAGCTTGAGCTTGGCTGTGCTTTTCTACTTTATTTTTCCTCGTAATCTCACTTAACATACTACTTACTCATCGTTTTTCTCATTTGACCCATCGTTTTTCTGTTGTTATTGGTAGCATAGCTGATAGTTTTCTTTTTTCAGACGGTCCCATGTTAATGTATCAGTGTTGATCAATTTCATGAGGTTCTTCTTAGGACTACATAGGGAACCCATAGCTCATAGCTGAAGTCTGCAGTACGCTAATATTTTTACACTTAGCTCTTAGAGCATGAATCTCATTTTTGTTGCCTCGAAATCATCAGATAATAATCGATCCCTGTTCAGTTTTGCAATTACTTATTTCTATTTGATAGATCTTTTACTAATAATTTTTCGAAGATGTATTCTTTTGTTACTCATTTCAATTATTTAAAGAGTTTCTCTGAAGTGTTCGTTCCCTCTTGCTGAAAGGTCCGAGGTCTTTGTCAAATTCCTATGCACAAGGCCGTCTACAGTGTCCGCTTTACTTGTCCTGCTCTGTCGCTAAGTTTTCCAGGCTACGGTCATGATAACTGTTGCCAGCGCTGCTTTCATAGTCCGCGAGTGAGCGCGCGAGCCGGGCGGGAGACTACTCGTCCGACGGTATCGACCAAGATTCTGTTGCGAACAAGGGGCAATCGCTGCCCCCGGCTGGCGCGCTTGCTCACGGGCTGGCCGGCGGACTATGAAAGCAGCCAGCCATGCTTCTTGAAATACGGTCTACAAAGTTTTTACCGTAGCAGATTACCTAAATTCAAGGAAGACAGAGATGAAACCAAACGCAGCTTCGACAGCCTTATAACTTCTTCCAAACAGAAAACTACGCCGTGCAGGGAATCTTCTGCGCGGTCTCGTTCTTTGGTTTAGAAAGGCTATAAAGCTGCGGAATGCTTTCAATATGACACGCCGATGCTTCTTTCGAGCTGTGTTTTTACGAATATTGGGGAGTAGTAAAGCAGGCAATGAATACGCTTCCGAAAGTTACTTTTTAGGTAGAAAGAACAGCAAGATTGAAAAAGATGTATTATGTGTTTGTGTTTTTTCAATTTAGGCTTCCTTTCTGATTTATCATACGGCATATGAATGACCCATGCTCTAGGAGAGTGCATCCGAGGCGATCCCGGGGCGCTGCCAAGGGTTCGAAGCCTCGCCCTGGCCTTTTCTTTGGAATTCTTCGATGCTCGAGTTTTTCGGTTCATACCCTTTGTGGACCAGTCTACTAAATTTACTGAATAACCAGAATTCAGTGAAATAGAAACGAAAGTAACGAGTGCAATACACGGTGGTCTCATGAGCACTACTGAAGGGGAGGCGGTCGTTTGGCGCGATTCCTCCCGTTAGATGCGGTTTGTGAGCTGGAGAACTCGTCTATGTGATTGGGCAACCCAATGCCCATCCAACTGATAGAAGCCCGACCGATGGCGCCGCTATTCTTAGGCGTTAAATTGGGGATCAGCTTGTATTCTGCCTATCATCGATCGGGCTTCTATCAGTTGGTTGGGCAATGAGCCTCGATCACCTGGACGAGTTACCCAGCCCGCAAACCGCGTCGAATGGGGGGCGCGATGGGAGGGATCGCGTCAAACGACATGCATCCCTACTGAAAAGAGCAAATTCATTTGTGACAGCTCAAATATTTGAATTGTTCAGCCCAGAATTTCGAATTGTAGGACTTTGGAATGTAGCCACTTTCATTGCCTTTCTAGACCTGACGACATGGGGTTAGGATGCTAGATATCGAAACAAGTGCCTGACTTCCCCGTGGAGTCTGCCCTCCAAGTGACGGGAATGAAGTTACACACTTGTCGCGTTGGTGTCATTGAATACGTATACTCGAAATTATATTTGTCACTAGAATTTAGATATCGTTACAGATCGAGTACTGCAGCTGGTTGCACTGCACTTTGCTGTGAACAGTCTAGATCTCAAAGGTATGGAAGGAACGACAACGCTGCCCATTGAAGGTATGGTTAAGGTGTGGTCACAAAAGTTAGGGTAACTGCGTGTCGTATATGTAGTGAGACAACTAGTTAAGGCAATCAATTAAGCCATGACGCCCGCGAGGCAACTAGTNCGAGTACTGCAGCTGGTTGCACTGCACTTTGCTGTGAACAGTCTAGATCTCAAAGGTATGGAAGGAACGACAGCGCTGCTCATTGAAGGTATGGTTGAGGTGTGGTCACAAAAGTTAGGGTAACTGCGTTTCGTATATGTAGTGAGACAACTAGATAAGGCAACCATTTAAGCCATGACGCCCTGCGAGGCAACTAGTTAAGAATCTCTGCACGCTGTGAGCGATTCAGAGATAACGCCCACACCTTTAAGCTTATGGCAAACCAGCTGACGCTTAGTGTTGCTTCTTTCCATGACAACTGCATAAAGATTTACACATGCACTGAAAGTTCAAAAGAAATTTCTTAGGGAGGGGTCGATCTTTTCAAGTCAAAATGTACTGGAGATGTTGGTATATACTTAAATCCCATGCACTGACGTTTTCTTCCTTCCTTCCCTCTCTATTCCCTAGCTCCGTACTCCCACCCCTTCTAGCCCTCTTGACGCTCATTTCACAGTTTTTGAGTTTTCAGCAGACAATCCTCGGATAATCTAAGAACACCGGATGGGAGAAAGTATTTGGAAAACCCAATTCAAGGTGGGATTCTACGTGTGTTCCGTGAGTGCTGTGGAGGCACCAGTACCTCTACGCCCATTCTCACACCCAGTACTCTGTCAGGACTTATGATTTTTTTCTTAATTTTACTCCAGAGAGGAGGAGGTGTAGTGGCAAGTGGCGCACTATCTCATGTAAAGTGTGAGAATCGAATCCGCCCAGGTCAACTAAGCCTTCCATACCTCTAGAGTCGGTTAATTGGTACAGGACATGTCTAGGAGCGTAGAAGTACAGATCTGTAGATTGACTGCCCGATGCAAGTCATTGAATAGGCCACATGCGGACTAAAATGAAACAAGTGTTCTGAGTGGAAGTGGAATGCACGGCGCATCCCAACAAAGAGAGAGAGTGAGTTATTGGCGGTAACGACTTTAATATTGCTTTACAAACAGTTACAACTGCTGTGAAGCATATCTATCTATCTATGTACTTTCCTTCTTCTGTCACTCTCATCCAATCATTCAGTAGGAAGCTCGATCAGCCATGCTTCTGAGAGTAGACCGTTCTTGAATCCGACCAATCCCATTTGGTATGCGCCATTAATCGACTTCTATTCGGAATTTCAGGAGCCTTTGAATGCGTGTGGGCCAATACAACGACACCCTGCTGCCAGACGATGTTCAAAGCAAAGCCTTTATCTCTCATTACTATCTGCTTCCAATTTGTCGACCTCGGAGACAATGAAGCCTTGATTGGCCTGGATTGTGTCGATCCGGGATTTGATCCTTGGACTACGCCTACGTCAACGATCCCCTAAGCACTATACCACATTCACCCTAATCTACAGCTCTGAAAAAAGATGAATTAAGATACAATTATCAGGAACCGACGCTGATTGGATACCATAGTTGGCCCATCCTATCGATCGTGATCCGAATGGATAAACCTCTCCATTTGGGTGCCTGGTGTAGTAAGTCCGTCGCGTCCTTGACATAGTGGGCGCTATTGATCACAGTTACCTCGTTCATTTATCGATATCACTCACTACTTTTTGCTACTGCCCTCCGATTTATCATCAAAGAACCTTTTGTACTAATAAGTAATAATAAATGAAGTGCATCAATCAAAAACCTGTTGGACGAGTTTCGCGCTCGAAACGAAAACCACTGCACCGAATCGATCGCCAGACACCTACACTCACTTGGTGTTCGGCTGTCCTCTTATTCGCATTTGTCTTCGCAATTTTTTCTCCATACATTTCCTCTAGGAATCATGTTCTCTCAGTAATTCATGGGTGAGGACTGGTTTCATAGTAAACCAGTTAGTTCATTGAAGTAACAAGACGTTAATCAGCATAAATTCTTTCACTGAAGGGACGATTTCGTCCCAGAACGATGTTAACATCGATCTCTTTCTGCACTGGCTTTGCACAGCCCATTTTTCAAATCGAATTTTTCTCATTCACCACATCCTTGCAATTGAAATTCTCTCAATTCTGGGATTGATGACTCTTTGAATGTCAGGATATCTATCAGATTCGAATTGATTTACTCAAAATACAGTGAATAAATAGTTATAAACCACTGAGGCTTCTCATATGTTTCTCTGTTTCTCTCATACGAAAAAAATCGAAAATTCGATAACTGAATGTTGATCTTTTCTTCTTCATGCACTCATTTGTTTACAAGTATCAATCACATCTACACTCTTACCTTTGGTCACGCTTCCTGTGCATTATTTGTGCATAATTAACAAATACGTAAATAATTAAGTGAATAAGTGGATAACTAAGTAAACAAGTATAAATTCAATCCATAGAACCCTTTCCGCAGTGTACCTAAAGTGGCTCAGGGGAAGGGAGGCTTCAAAGTCTCTCCAATTCTCTCGGGTTTTCTCTCCAATATACAATATGATCATCTTTGCTCTTCCCCGACCGCTACACCTTTCCTTTGCGCATTCGTTTTTTGCTTACACTCTCGATTGCAATGCACTGGTCTTTATCTTTTTTAGTCTTAGTTAGTTAGTTCTTAGTTTTTTGACTTTTCTTGTAATGTTTTAATGAATCCACCGCCAAAAAGTTGTTCCGTGACTTCGCTCTGTTTTTTTTTTTTTGCTTCACGGAAAAAGAGCATTTTGGTCATCATAGCAGGACAGTAATCGAGCTTCAAACAGGGTTGTTATGCAGTTGGCAGCGGCTGGAGAGACAGTTAAAGACACCATTAGCAATAAATCTAGGGTACCTTTTTTGACGGGAATTGATAGAACTACTCTAGAATAAA